AATCCAGAAAGTAAGAAGCCTTGTGAGTGATAACACAAAATCGTTTTGTAGAAAATAAGATCTCAATTTGCACACGGAAAATAACTAGGTACAATCAGAAACCTATTCATAATCATTCTCTAGTCTAACTGAAACTCATGTTCCCCTCCCCCGCCCCACGATGAGCACACATTTCAAGGTCCGAATTAACCGAGTTTGGTTTACAATAAGTACCACCTAATTTCATCATCCCTTCATATCTCTACAACCCCCCGCCCCTTCACCCCCTTCTCACTCTCTCGCGCGCTGCAAAATTGGATTTGGGTTAGCTTTGGCATCATCAACGTTAGCACAGAGGTCCATACGCACTGTGAAGACTGTGATTAGATTTACATTTTGTAATGTTACAACGAACGTGGTAGTGGGAGGGCTGTCGACAGTTGTTGGGAAGGGGGTTCGGGGTATTTTTCAGGGTCGTCTGCTCTCACCCATATAGAGAGGAAACTCATGTGAGGGTGGATTGTAGGGGCGCATTGAATACAGGAGTTACAGTGGGGGTACATTGTAGTTTTCACTCATTTTCCACCCTTCACCCATTCTCTCAACATTCGAGTTAAAAAATATACTATATAATTCTATCGTTCTTGTACTATGAGAAATGCATTTGAAATACTGAATCAGTGGAACCCATGTATCGTTGTGTGGGGTAGGTAACCTAGTTAGCTTGTTAGTGGTGAAGGGGAAAGCTGACAATGATGTTAGTTATGCCTCAGAGCAGGATGAGAGCCTTGCTTCAACATAACTCGTATAACGAAAATTCATGAAGGTTCAGCGAACAACGGACTAGGCCCGCTCGGGCTGCTGGTTGGACTGTCCAACACGACAGCAAGTCAGTCGCCTACATTTCACTGGCAACGATTTTTTTTAAATTAATATATGCAGAAGCTTCTTTATTGAAACAAAAGTATTTCTGTAAAGTGTAACGAAGCCGAAAATTATACCCTTGAATAATAAAATAATTTGTTTTTACAGCGACTGTTAGGGCCGCGCCATAGCTCAAGCGGTTAGTCGCTGGCTTCCCACCGCGGTGGCCCGGGTTCGATCCCGGGTCTGGTCAAGTGGGATTTGCGGTGGACAAAGTGACGCTGGGGCAGGTTTTCTCCAAGTACTTCGGTTTTCCTTGCCAATATTCATTCCACCAATTGCTCCACAATGACCCTCACCTATAATCTGGGGCTGGTACAATAGGCCAGAAGTTGCCGCAGTACAAGGGACTTAGTCTCACCCCACTAGCAATAAAACAATACAGCGACTGTGAAACTATAACCTTGTTTCAAATACAGATATCAATATATTTTTCAAAAAAATAAATTTTTAGGCTAATTTAAGCTCTGCATGTAGGTAGAATACAGGTAAGTTTGTTTTATTGTCACTATAAGATTACAAAGAATTTTACAAGAAAGTTTCATTTTGGATTTTGTGACGAAATTTTTGTACGTGCGGATATGTTCATATTGTCGAGTGTATTAGTGACTAAAGATGTGGGTTTTGATCGGTGAGACGATTCATTAAATATTCACTAGTTGTAAATAAAATAATTGCAACATGTATGTAAGTATGTATATATGTGTACAAAATATATTGTGACGCATAGACCCACTGCTAGGCAATGACATAGTAGACAACTAACAAAGCATACGCGCTCAACAATAGGACATCCACTGTTAGGTAACGGAAAAATAAACACACTTTCTTGACAACAGAAGACGTTGTTTTCCATGGGGTCCATGCAGGGGACTTACAAGCGGTCACAGTCAGGAGACGGGACGGAGTACAACGGAATAGAGAAGTGTTGTCAGAAGTCGAGAGTGTTCACTCGTTAGAAGGTGACAGTGAGTCAGATAGTGATTTGAGAACTGTTGTAACCAGTTGCATAAATGTCCAATGAATTCGATTATCAAATACAAAACCCGTCTTATTAGTCACGCAAACCCCGGATACGTGACGGTATGTTTGTACATTGTTGTAGGCATGTTTGTGTACGCATATGCAAGGATGTATGCATGCGTACTTCGGGAACGCGATTTTGTTTCCCTTACGTTCTCATGGTGGAAGACGTGGGAGCGAAACGCACCGCTCTGTGACTGCTCACGCTGTCTCGTTACTGCCAACGATTTCCGCGATAATTCGATTAGTTACAACTCGTTCAGTTGATCGCCCAGTGGCAGGGGAGCGAGACCGCCCAGGTTTCCTCTCCTCACCGCTCTGTACAGAGGTAAACTTATAGATGACCCTACGACTAAGCGCCACATCACGAAGGCGTACAGGATAAGCTCCGCGCATTCGTAACCTTGGAGAATATCGGCCGTCTTATGTTCAGGCAATGAGTTCCAGGCATTTGTTGGATTTCAGGCTGTATTTTCAAACAGCCACTTTGGACATGACAATAAGAGTAAAGAAAAAAGTACAATTCTCCATTCTCCAAACTGATTTCTAATAAAGTGCGAGTAAAACAATTCCTTGATGTTGCAATATCGTCACTATAAATTAGTCATCCACTGAGAGTTGAATGTACACGTTCTTTGTACCTCTGAATATTGGACACTGCTCTGGAGATCGTCTGGCGTTTGTTAGTGGAAGACATCATCATCATCATAATTGTTGCTGCTCATGAAACAAAGTATTATTTAGGGTCTTTGCAGCATCTATCGAATTTTATCTTCATTGTTTGCATCCTGTTGGTGGTCCATAAACGCCCACACAGAAGGAATACACAGTACATACTTACTCATGGAGCTGAGCTCTTTTTGAGGAGCCGCCAAATCTGCAGCTATTCAAAAATTTCGCAGCGTTTTATGGAACTCGAAAGTTCATTACCGTGTTCACAAGAGCCCTCCAATTGTCCCTATCCTGAATCAGATAAATCCAATCCATACCACCCCATCCTACCACTTTAAGATCCATTTTAATATTGTCCACCCACCTATGTCTTGGTCTTCCCAGTGGTCTCTTTCCTTCTGGCTTTCCCACGAATATCCTATATGCATTCCTTTTCTCCCCCATTCCTGCTACATGCCTTGCCAACCTCATCCTCCTTGACTTGATCATTCTAATTATACTTGGGAAAGAGTACAAGTTATGAAGCTCCTCATTATGCAGTTTTCTCCAACCTCCTGTCACTTCATTTCTCTTCGGTCCAAATATTCTCAACACACTGTTCTCAAACACCCTCAGTCTATGTTCTTCCCTTAATGTCAGAGACCAAGTTTCACACCCTACAGAACCACAGGCAAAATTATAGTTTTGTATATTCTAATTTTTATGTTTTTGGACAGCAGACGAGAAGACAAAAGGTTCTGTATAAGTGCCAGCAAAAGAGAATTTTATATACATCAATCGATATAAACTCTCATAAAGAAATTCAATTCTCGTGTTTATCCACATAAATAACCACGGCATCGGAACACATCATAGGAAGTGCCTGCTCCTTCATACATGGAAGTGAATACTCGAGAAAAGCAGATCCAGCCTGAAGAAGTCAATTGCTAAAATAGTCGTACATCTGAGATAAGAACAAAAGTTACTGCATGGGAAAATAAAATAACAAAATAATAGACTGGAAAGGTACGCAAGATTATTTTAAAATGATAGGCAGTCAAGCGTGTTAGACTATATCAGTGACGTAAAAGTCATAGAAAAACAAAGGAAGAGATTTGGAGAGAACCATGGCCTAATCTAAGCTCAGAACAATCAATGAAATATAAAACTACTGAAGTCGATGACGACCATAACTTATGGTGGTGACGGTGGCAGAATTAGTAATAAGTTTTGTAAATAACGCGTCGTTACTAATTCCCTTCTAGTGTGGCATGAAGAAAATATTATATGATTTACTGACCTATTTCGGGTCATAAGTTTCTCCGTTAATAATGCGCGTTATGTTCTCCAGACATAAAGACAGAGATCGGTAGCTCCATCGCGTTTGTAACCTTCAGTGTGTTAGGAAAATGTGCTGCAAACCTTGAATTTTTCTTTTATCCGTCTCCATTAAAACCTTCACATGTCATTAGTTACTTCCTTGATAAAGCTATCCTTGTAACAGGCCGTGAAGGCCCTTAGGGTTGTGAGACTTCGAGGCTCCAACACTTTCTTTAGAAAATCGGCTCATAGATGGCGGTGAGATTGTCGGGCTTCCGTGCCGGCCGCCCTTTATTCCCCAGGAAGATTCCTGGTATTCAATTCTTGGATCTAATGTTTTTGTGTGGCACGACTCTTCATTTGGATTGTGACAGACAAAAACTGAGTTGGGGAGGGGAAGTGTCTAGTTCTGCTATGAATTAAAATCATAAACTGTCTATTTATTATGCTTTTCTACTCTTCTCGGAATTTGTTTAGTAATTATAAATTATATGAAATATTTATGAAACCGAGATAGCACAGTCGGTATAGCGCCTGGCTACGGGCTGAACAACCGAGGGGTCGGAGTTCGAGTCGCTGTGAGGTCAAGAATTTTATCTTCTCTACGTCGTCCATACCGGCTCTGGGGCCCACCCAGCCTCCTATCCAATGGGTACTGGGGGCTCTTTCCCCGGGTATAAAGCGAAAGGAGAGTGACGCTAACCACTCATCTCCAACTAGTGCCGACGTCAAGAAAACGTGGATCTGTACATCCACTCCCTTATACGCCTTCATGATGTAGTACTTAATTAGCTAAGAACAGGTACAACTTCACTTTTACCTTACCTTTATGAAATATATATTTCACTGTATGTATAGTTTATGATCATATCGTATGGAAGTCTACTTGATCAGTACTGAATTGTATCTACTTAATTCAGAAAAAAAACTGCCTTACACTACAAAGAGATACGATGTAAGTTAGGCCCCTGAAGTAGTATGAACATGATGAAGATAATGTTTTCGGGAATCGAATTGCGGCCGCCATTTTACTGAAGTCTTTAGCCCAATTTTTCTATAAAATATTGATCATTGTCTGAGACGTGACTGAGTCTTGTTCCTACCTTTGACGCTCTTGTTTGGTGGGGGCCCGTCTCTGCTCCACGGCGGGTCCCCGTGCCCAGAGAAGTCGCGCAGTTTGAGGTACGAGATAGTGAGGCGTATGATGGAGGCCTTGTCGAGCTGTGACGTGATAGCGGCAGGAAGGGGCAGCATCTTGGCCAGCTCGTAGAACTCGAAGTTCTCCTTCCCTCGACGAGATCTCGCTGCGTCACGACTCTTCTCCTTCCTCAGCTCCAAGATGCTGTAACGAACACAGAGGTCAGCTCGTCTGCCGACGCTCAGAACCAACACATACATTTTCATCCTCCTGACCTGATCCCATTCAGAATTAATTATGGATTTATCAATATTATAGAGTTTAATATGACTCCTTGGACGAGGGATCTGCTCGTCGCAAGGCCACTACCTACACAGTACGACAGAAACGGAATAAACACAAGCCTCCATGCCTCGAGTGGGATTCGAACCCATGATTTCAGTGTCTGAGATGCCAAAGACATTTCGTGCGGCCACTAGATATACGTATTTTAAAAGAAGAAATGTTATCAAATATCCATTCATCAAATAATCAATCATTCATTAAATGGTACAATAATTCATAAGAGGTTAAACAGTTCCATCCAATGTGACTAGTTAAGATTTTTCTTATTTCAATCCATCATCCCTTACATGTTTCGGTCTTTACAGACCATCCTCAGAGGGACATCAATACAATCAGAAGTCACTATTACAATATGTTTGAATGCTAGAATATATACATATAAAGTTGATAAAACACAGTGGATATAAAATCTAATGTTTTAACAACTACACCGGCTGTCTTAAAATGTTAAAATATTTAAAATTAGTTTATTAAGATTTTGTTGGAAATTTAAACCAAGTTGGTTCGTGTCTTTTTTTTTATTATTTCTTTTCTCGAAGGGGGCCAAACGTGTACCCCTTGTAGTTCTTGAGAAGAGGATTTTTTAATGTCGTCCTGTAGGTGTTCGTGGGGCGCTGTGTTGTTATATATTACATTAATTGATCAGACTGAAGACACTTTTTCACGAGGCGCGGTGGCTTAACTCCTCTGCATGCATAAAATGGATGCATGATGGGCCTGCCTGTCACTCTTCATGTTTATTCTCAGGATCGAATATAATGTTTCTGGTGACGTCATAATGGCTATCTGTACCAAACACTGATTTCAAATTCAGTCGTATCGGTTCATTGGAATCCGTGTTCTGCAGTACTTGCAGTTCAAAACTCACCTTATCGATTTTCCCAATACCAGCAAATCTTGCTAAGAATTAGGTTACACACAACGGGAAGAATATAGATTCAGGCCCTAAAAATTTGCGTGGACCTTTAGATATAATGAGTTCTTGAATTTAAATTTATCCATGTATTTAATTACGTTGTTAAGCACTGTACAATGAAGGCGTATGGTGGAGTGGAGGCATAGCTCCCCAATTCTTGACCTCCGCACTAGATGGAGGAGAACGATTAGCTTCCTGCTCCTGATGCTTTGCTCTCGGAGTCAGAGCCCCCAGTACGCCCTGGATAGGATGCTGAGTGGGCCCCAGAGCCCGTCTGGACGTTACTTAGAAGAGAACAATCTGCTGCCCCTACCGGGAATATAACCCCAGGCGTCTAGCCTATAACCTACTTTTTTTAATTCGCTTAGTGGGGGGTGGAATCCAGTTGGGTTCACTCGGCCTTTCGGCTACTGAATGGCCTATTGTACCTGTACCGGGTGATTATGATTATGGAGAATTTGGTGAAATGAAGATTGGCAGGGGAAACCGAAGTACTTGGAGAAAACCTGCCCCAGCGCCACTTTTTCCATCACAAATCCCACTTGACCAGACCCCGGATCGAACCCGGGCAGCCGCGTTGGGAAGCTAGCGATTAACCGCTTGAGCTATGGCGCAGCCTAGCGTGTAACTTAGCTGCTTACCGACTAAGCTTTCCCGGAGAATATTTAAAGAAATAGAAGGAAAACAAGGTATGTTCCTGCAGTTTAGTGTATATCACGTAGTTAGTTTTGAAAGGAGGGATTTCTGTCTGGAAAAATGTGAACGTAAACTGAATAGGGTAGCACACATAAAATCGTTTTCGGTAAATATGTGCGCTTTTTAAGGATACGCCTACTCGATTCTTTTATTAAATTGTAGTAAAATCGATCTCTTTAAATGCTGAACTAGAATGAAGCTTACAGAGGGTCTTTTTTCAAGTTAGTACACTAACGACACTCAGTACCGAGACTATATATAGGAGTCGATGAAGGAATGAATAGTGAATGTGGAGCAGTTTGGAGGACTAGGAATTGACAAAGAAAATAGAAGTACTCGGAGAATATCCGCCCCAAAATGCTACTTTGTCCACCACAAATCCCACATGACTCAGAACTGAACCCAGCCCGTTGCGATAGGAAGCAAGCGACTAACACCCTAAGCTATGGAACGACCCGGTTCCATGATAGTAAGATATTACAGACGGATATGCTCTGCAGTTTAGACAAAGCTTTGAGTCATAAATTTTGAATCGTGACGAACAACACATATGACAAGAGTAGTTCAGTAATATATATTCGGACCGAAGAGAGATGAAGTGACGGGAGACTGGAGAAAACTGCATAATGAGGAGGGGCCCATCCAACCTCCTTTCCAACGGGTACAGGGGGCTCTTTCCCCGGAGGTACAGTGGCCGGGGTGTGAAGCTGATCATTCACCTCCAACTAGTGCCGAGGTCAAAAATGACGGAGCTATACCTCCACTCCCTCATATGTCTTGATGGCGTAGTGCTTAATTAGATAAGCACAGGGTCAACTTTTTACCTAACATGAGATGAACTCACAAAAATTGCTAAAGCAATATGTCATTTTCATCAGATTACTAAATTAAAATTGAAAGTGGCGCCTCCTCTTAATGTTGCAGTCCGCGTCGAAAGAAACGTTTACATCGCGTGCAAGATATAGGCTAAAACAAATCTAAGAAAGACGTATGCAAGACGAATAACACGCCAGTCACGGTAGCCGAGCGGTCTAAGCAAGCACTGTCTTCGCTCGCTCGGAAGCCGGGATCGTGGGTTCGAATCCCACTCAGGGCATGGATGTTTGTGTGCGTTTTTCTGTGTTTGTGTACAGGTAGAGGCCTTGCGACGAGCTGATCACTCGCCCAAGGAGTCCTACCGAATGTGTAAGATCTAGAAAAACCGAAGTGAACGGAGTTCATGGAGATAGGCCTAAGCCCACTGGGGCTGTAGAGCCAAGGAAACAAGACGAATAACATAGCGTTAACTTAATAAGAGTTAATTTAACAAGAATAAAAGGTAAAGTTATCCCTTTAACAGATCGTGGAGGCCCATAGCGTTGTGATATGTTGAGGCTCCAGCATTTTCTAGACAGTCGGTTCACAGATGGCGGTGAGGTTGTCAGCATTACGCGCCGGCCGCTCTTTACCCCCAGGAAGATTCCTGGTACTCGTTTCTGTTAGAGGCTGAGTCAACCCCTGGGCCATAGTGCGGCTAGAAGGATTAGGTAAATTGAAAAGAAGGAATGGCCGCATCGGGACTCGAACCCGCGACCTTCCGGCTTGTAGCATAGTGCTTCAACCAACTACAATCCTAATATTATTTTCAACGAAATTGAAAACTCAATACTTGTTTTCCAAAATAAGTATTGTCCTTACAGTCTTATATTATTAATATCCACGATCATTTTTATCGCACATTGTCCGAAGTCCTTCCATAACGAAGAAGACTGTTATGGAACTTGCTATAATTTCACAGGGTGGAGCAAATTGCCATGTTTCTTTCTAGAACGGTAATTTCTCTTGGTTGGCCGGTTATTTCTCTGATTAGTTCAGCTCCCTACAGCAATAAACATTCTATTCCTCCGTTCTTCCAAAGCCTGAATCTGCTCTACAATCTCACACTTGCCTTCTCACATTGCAGCTCATATCCTTTGTAACTAACTTCATGGAGCTGAACCATAACATCCTTTGTAAAATTAGGAAATTCCTGCAAATAACTCCAACTATGCTACTTAGGCAAAGCGGCCTCCGTAGTCTAGGGGTAATGTTCCCACCTCGTGACGCAAGGTACGCGGGTTCAAACCCGGCGGAGGTCGTGGAATTTTTAAGGGCAGAAAAATTCAGGGAACAAGTCCTCCGGGAGGGACTTTAAGCCGTGGGTCCCGTGTCGTAGCTTTACGGCATGTAAAAGAACCTCATGTCCCAAGGGGACCACTGAGCCAAATTCAGGACATTTCCCGCCCAACAGTAGTGTCTAACGCCTCTGGTAGATGGGGGAAGCATCGATATACCGCTGAGCCAGTAGAGGACGAACTCGCTGGCTGAGTCGGGACTGATGGCACTCACCAGTACCGGTAGGGAATAGAGACTGGTAGAATATCATAGGGGGACGCACAATGGACCAACAGTTGGTCTAAGTGCATGGAGGAAACCCACCCTCTCCAATACAATACAATACAATACAATACAATACAATGCTACTTAGGCATATAGTAGTTGTCGGTTTGTGGAACAGTGTACTATTGTAGTTCCGAAAGAATATCATGTTTTCATCTTCAGAGTGGAGGTGGCTTACAGCGTTAGTATATTCCCTCCGAAATGACGGTAACCATGTAAAAGGCTGCACGGTCTCGTAAGCCATAAGACCACAATATGAATACTCAATGTCACGAAAACCACAAGTCCCAAATTCTCCTAAACTAACGGCCTAGTGTCCAGTCCAGACCGGCCCTAGGTCCCACAAGGCCTCCTATCCAATGGGTAACGGGGCACTATCCCCGAGGGTAAAGCAGCTGGGGTGTGACTCTGATCACTCATCTCCATCTAGTGCCGAAGTCAAGAATGGTGGAGCTATATCTCGACTCCCCCCTACACTTTCATGCCATAGTACTTGACTACGTAATTAAGTAAAAGGGATAACTTCACGTTTTAGGAACTTCGCTCATATTTCAGAACATAGCAATATTCTTCCTTTGTGCTTGTGTCTGTGAGTAAACATATACCCGCTAAGCGTGGACTCTACATTATATGTAAATACGTACTGTGGCGTGCCACCTAGGGCCGGAATATTTTGAATAAGAACCCATCCATTGCTATACAACGGCTAGCAATTCCTAGCAAGCGAAGCCTAGGAAATCGTTGACCCGGAAATGAAAGTCTAACAGTGGGGTTCCCACCGTTACAAACGAATTGTTTAAGGCAGACGCGTATTCCAGACGCAACGAAT